TTGCTTTCTTCAACTCGACCAATTGCTGACAATACTTGTTGGCAGTGATCGTTTCTCCAGCTGGCAAGAGCTCAAAATAGATCACGCCACGGATATCTCACGAAATGCACAGCAGTACCTTCATCGGATGCAATCCACCTTTCGACATCGGTTCCGCCCCTTCGTGTGCCTGTTTCCATGTTCTTTTGCGTTGAACATTGTTGTACAGGATCCATTTTTCATCACTAGTCCCGAGCCGATCCAAAATAGGTTCGTTTTGATCCGTCGAAGCAAAGAAATTGCTGTTGACATACGGTCCACTTTGTTTTTTTCACTCAACTGATGTGGCACCCATGTATCGAGCTTCAAAGTGTACCCAACCTTTTTTAAACGACGAAACGCAGTTGATTTGTTGACGTTCAATTCACTGGCAACCTCTTCCGTCGAAATACGTGAGTTATTCGCAACTAAAGTCCTTAGAACATCGTCATCAAGCTCAGAAGGCCGTCCACTGCGAGGTTGATCTTCGAGGTTAAAATCTCCAGAACGAAATTTCGCGAACCATTTCTTTACTGTGCGGAGTGCTGGAGCACGGTCCAAATAAACTTCGCGAATATCTTTAGTTGCAGCGCCTACTGTTTTTCCTTTGCGGAATTCGTATAACATAATATGACGCATATGATCTTTTTCGTTGTCCATCTTCCATGCGTCTTTTCACTAAGCAACTCAAATCAAAATGAAGTTATTTTATGCTTGATTTACAGTTCGGACTGTCACCTTTCCAACGATATATAATATGTATATATTTCTTTCACGAGCGCCACTCTCAAACGATTCGAACGGCATCCAGCGGAATCGGGCACGAACTTATGCACTCATCCAATATTAGCGCTATTTCTCTTTATTTACTCTCTTATGATTTTAGTAAGGGTTATGTACGTATGAGTACGTGAGAGTTAAAGCGCTATGAGAGCTTTCTCTTTATCTCATAATTCACTTATTTAATCTTACCCTCCTTTCAATTTATTTAAAAAGAAGACAAGTCTCAATGTGTTCTGTTTGAATTCATAAATATAAATAATAAGTATTTATTTGAGATCATTTGAAGGTAACAAAGCAAGGTATTGCTGAAAGCTCTTTATATATATAATATTAATAAAACAAATTTATTTCTCTATATATATATTGCGCATACATATTTTATTTGTTAGGCGGCTATAATAACGCTTCAATGCCGTATTTAATTAAGCATGACACAGCTTATTAGCTTAACATTATCAAATCTATACAAAAGCAAATCGATAAACTTGCATAAGGAATTGGTTATGATATTGTATTGTATCCACAAAAGCGCCCTGAAGGTATTCCTCTATATTCAAACTAACTTCCTTCCGCCATTAACCCACGAACTAATTACACTGCAAAAAAAAATTAAGCGTGAATCACTTAAAAACAAGCAACAAATTTTCAACAGTGAAAATATTCAGAAATTTTATTTTTTCCAAAGTCTATAACAATCACGAACTGTTGTATTTATATTTAAATTACTTTAGCACTAAACGAATGTGTGAAGTTTGATGAAGAAATGTGTATATTTAGTATTTAGTTGGAATATATACTAAATGTTGATCATACGACATGGCCAACTTGTTTGCTTTTAAATAGAAGATTCTTAAACTTAAATTTATAAGTACAATTTAGGCCAATATTTATCAGATTGAAGTATAAGAAAATTATGCATGTTTTAGAACTACAAACAAAATTTTAGTACTAAAACACCCTTTGATATTTTTAATTTTTAATATTTACTCCATATTCAGCGAAAGTGTACCCCTTAAGCCCATCTGAGGAAAAAACTCTAATTCAAAGGGTCAAAGAACGTGTTCTAAGTAACATCTGGTGTACAAACCACAACAAATGTGCCTTACGAAACTCCAGGATACCTAAGATAAGATCTAGCTAAGGCCAGAAAGAAGCAGAGTAGGTGTGCTTACGTCTCACTCATGCCTTGCTTGCTGTATGGGATGCCAATAGGTTGTGGCCCGTCATTGGTCACACTCTCAAATATATGTGCCTTCGAAAAATTAAAACAAAAAATACATTTTTTTACCTTTTTCTTAAAATTTAGCTTCCACAACAGCTGGCCGTCCAACCTTACTTCCAGTTCCTTGGTTTGTTTATCGACTGATAGCTCTAGGCCGTTGCGCTTCGGGGGTATCCATGCAGGTATTTCGTACCTTCTTGTACGAGTTCCTCCACGTGGGTCTGAGCAGTCGAGCTTTGTCCCACTCCACGTTAAGCAGCTCGGCAGATTTTTTATCCCAAGTAGTACAACAGGCACTATAAGCTTCAGCTACTTTTTTCAAATCTATTTGTAAGGGATTTTTTTTACAATGCACTCGAGTTCAAAATAGTTTAATATTTAAGCTCAGCCTTATAAGGCCTGATAAGAGAGCAGATACTCAGTGCGAAACGGCCGGAAGAGATAAGGTACGAATCAAAGGCAAATGTTTAGCCGGTATTGGCATATATATGTTTATATGTACTGTATGTATGTACATGTAAATTCTTTATTACGATTGACTTTCTACAGTAATGACGTAAAAGGAATATTTGAGCATATAACAGCTTATTGATACTCGTATATGTATGTCCAAAGACACATGATGCTGTCAACTATATTAGTTCAATAGTGCTCTCAGAAAATCGTATTCATATACATTATTTTCGAGGAACCCTGAACTCTGTAAGAGTAAAATCTAAAGCTGTGGAGTGTTGCCTCAGATCACTTTACGTGATGACTAAACAGTACCATTTTAGCCAAATACGGGTGCCTGGGCTAAGTAACATACCGGGTAATGAGATGGAGGACGAGCGTACAAGGAAGAGCATGTCGCTCTCCACTTGTAGTATGACATAGACATTTTATAAATATGCTAGATAGAGAAATCTCAATGCCTGTAATGTGACCGGAATAATATGACCAGAAAAGCACAGAAGGAGAAGGTTATCGAACTAAAAAGAAATGCGGTATCTAGAGTTATATGTATTCTTACAAGGTGTGTTCCATTGGGCAGGCACACAGAGAGGTTGGGCATTGCAGATAAGAAAAGGAACCTGAGGATGGTACTTCCTTTGCGATGGCGCCGCATCTCAGATGAATAGGTTGAAGTCTCTGAAGGCGGGGGCTAAAATACGGCGACTGCTCCGTTGTGCAACTTCCACATATTGATTTGATTATCGTTTGGTTGTTATTAGGATCCTTTGTGGTATTAAAATGGGCCCGTTTGGTGGGCTAAGTGCACTGATGCCCGACTTCCACGTCAACCAACCAACCTACCATATTTAAAATCTCAAATTAGCATTGGATCATGGGTTCTAGGTCTAAACTAATCTTCGAAAACAAAATGTTCTTTTTGAATGTGCCTCCGAAGCCATATTCGACGTACAGGATCCAACTTTGGGGCTTAGCATCTAAATCTAGCATAAACACAAATCAAAGCCTACAGTCTGAAACCTTAAGGGCAGAAGGGACTAGCACTGGTGTGCTCAATTTCAAGTTTTAAGCTATAAAAAATATTTTCTATTTGAAAATTGATCCGTTTCTGGCAGCTGCTGTTCAAGACCGAGCATTTTACAATAGACGTCAGTTTTCAATATTTCCCAACTTTCTTAAAGCGTAAACTAAACCGTTTCGTAGAACGCTAACCTTGTACACACACCAGGTATGTCATTGAGGATACCAAAGCTCAAATAACCCTTAGCTCAAAAAACAAAGTTAGATGTATCACCCTGTATTTCTATATACCTATGTAATCTTACCTACGTACGCGCAAAGGCGTTACCTAAATTCAGCCAAGTGCGTAAAGATACCACTTAATGACTGAGTAGGTGGATTGTCTTTCACTCCACTCTTCGCCGGAGGTTCGTTTGTTTGTGAGTGAGTTTTAAACTTGCAACACTCAATCCATCAATCAATCAAGTGTTTTGCGTCTAATGAACGAACGAGCTGTGTCTTCATGCATATTAAATGGAAATACTTAAGTAGTGTGTGTTTAGCGTGTGTGTGACTTGCGGTGAACAAAGAGGATGTAGAGTTCAACTGCAAGCACATTCTAAAGCTCAAGTTGACGTTGATGAGCAAATGAGTTGAAAATTACACTATTCACTTGAAGCGTAGTTATGGAATTAAAATATATATGAGTTACGTCAGATTTTTATGCTTTTTCTCTGCAACAATCAGCAGTGTTGAACAATATTTTGTCTTGTCAGATTTTATGTCTTACTAAATTTTATGTGTATCCAGATTTTATGCCTTACCAGGTTTTTTTCTCAAATTTTATATCTTACCTGTATTAATGTCTGACCAGATTTTATGTTTAGCAATATTTTATGAATTTCTTAAAAATAGCCAATCGGAAGGTCAGGGTTCGAGCCCTGGCTAGACCAACATCCAAAAATTGTACGACCTAAATTTAAATAAAAACTTCAATTAATTTGTGTAAGTGCCGTCGATCCTCGGCAGGGAGTGTCATCCACTTCGACTCTATTTTTAGGCATGATATAAAGCTTCTTATAAACAGCCAACAGCCGCGCGTAGCCGCTTCAGCGATTACATTCCCTGCTGAGGGGTAGAAAAATCAAATTCTTCGTAATTTTGAGTGTTGGTCGGCAGAAGTCTTGAATACTGATTTCCGAATGGTAATGCAGTGCATTAATCACTCGGCTATTGTGATAGTATAGGCAACTCTATTTCCAGCCTCAGCAACTGTGGGAAGCTATCGTTACGGCGTCCTTCTCTTCCGCCTGAAGTTCCACTAGCCGTTAATTTTTTATAGAACCAACTTAACCGATTGAAATATATTTTTTTTTGTCCTTTGAGAAACCAAACCGAAGGGTACCACGAAATTCTCGACATTTCAACATACTTTCTGTTTGCGAATAAACTTCACACAACCTCTTTTTCAACTCATTTTTAATCAAACTGAAATACCACTTTTGCTTTACCTGTTTGCTTTCAGAGAATATTTGGCAAACGGAACTTGACTTTATTGCGGTGAATCGTCGTAATTTGGTTGTACTTTCAGTGGTAACCGCACCCTACCAAAATGGCACAGCAATCAACGACGATGTGGGCAACAACCTGGACGAGGACCAAGACGATGAGTACTACAATGATACAATGTTTACGGCTGTCAGTGTTGGTGGTGCCGGCATCAACATAAACAATAATTTATTCAACATGCAAACGAGCACGTCGACGACGAGGCAAGGTAAAACAGGTAGAGGTGGCAGCATGCGCAAAGTGGAGGCTAAAGGGAAGAGCATCAACAGAGTTGGTGTGGATTTCCATGACGATGGAAAGACAAGATATTTCGAAGTGCCCGATTTAATTAATCGGAATAGTAAGGAAGTGGCAGAGGACGATGATGATAAAGTAAATAACAACAACGATGAGGATGTGGATGGGTTTGATGTTGATGTGGATGCGGACCGCAAAGGGAACAAGAACAGCAAATTTGACTTCAATGCTGAAGCTGACATTTATGATGCCAGAGGTGCCGAAGGTGGTGGCGCGGCTGATGCTGGTGGTGGGTATGGTGAAGGTGACAGTGAAGGACGCATATTTGTAGAACATTTCGATACAAAGGAACTCTGGGCGCATAAAGCTGTTGACATGCCACAGACGACAACCACAGAAGTAACCACAACAACAACAACAACAACGACAACCATCAGCAATATAGATAGCAACAAAAACTACGACAAAATGTGGGACAAGTTGGGCAAATTGGGCAAGACAAGCCGTATTGATGGCGCTTTGACAGCGATGAAAGCAAGAACAACAACAACAACAAGCACACCAGAACAACAGCAATCAATCATTGCAAACACAAGTAGCGTGCGACCACTAACAACAACAAGAGCAACAATCGAGGCAAACGATGTGCAGAAGACATCAAAAAGCCGCGCGTCACTCTCAACTTCGATGACGACAACAACAGCAGCAGTAACTGGCGTATCTACAATAACAATTGGCGCATCTGCCGCAACAACAACAACAACAACACCAGCAGCAGCAGCAGCAGGTGAAACCACAAAATACTCAAGTCGTGTCACACAACGCTTAAGCCACACAAAATCGTCGCCAACAAGCGCAAGCGCAAGCATAAGTGACAACAACAATGATAGCGATAATGAAGACACATTATTTACAGTAAATTCCCCTGTAATAACAACAACAACTACCCAACCAATAACATACACTCAGCCCACACGCATCATGCATCATCAACAACACCATCATCATCATAAAGACCAGCAACCACAGTCACCGCCACAACAAACGCACACACACGCCAGCCAACACACAGGCAAGTCCATGCGTAAACATCACGGCCACAATCGGCAGCATCATCGACAACGCGGCCAACATCACAATCGTCGGCAGCACACCAGCACAGCGGGCGGACGTTCGGATGAGCGCTCGGTGCGGCTACTCGACACCGGCCGAGCTGCTGCCGATTTGCGTCCCGCTAGCGTTTTCGGCGCAAACCGACCAGCAATCGACATCGATTTGAATCGTCTCGATGAGTTGGATTCGTCTGCGAACTCAAATATTGAGCAGTCTATAATTTCGCAGCGCGGGCAAAACCGCGACTCAGCGCCAGCCTCTATAGAAACGGATATGCTCGATTACGATGTTCGACGCAGCTACACGAAATCAACATCAACTATTAGCACGACTACACGTGACAGCAATATACATATCGTTAAGCCCGAGAAGCTGCCGGAGATTATACCCTCAACGCCATTAACGAGCAATTCGAAAATTATCGAAATCAAAACGAAAAGTAGCAGCGCAAGCAGTGGTGGCGGTAAGCGCGCCAAGCGCATGACGGGCGAGACAATGCAGGTGGAAATTGAGCCGGAATACCTGGTGGGTGAATTATCTGGCAATGATTCAATTGAGTATATGTCACCTTCGTCAGCCGCTGCAGGCGTCGCCATTTCTTCATCGTCCTCGTTAGCTGCCGCCGGTAGCATCGCAACCGCACAGCAGCCACCACAAACTAGTCTAGTACGTCTCGATGGCTTTGCTGGTATGTTACAAATATTATTCGGCATAGAGAAACCCATCGATATGGCTGTGTTCGAGCACTCACCAAGCGCCGAGTTTGTTAATCTTGTATTCGCCCTCCTGGTGTGGTGTGTACGCTATCCGGCCGTCTTTTGGACGACAACTAAATCGTTTGCCACCATCTTTAGCATACAAATGATTGCTGTCGCTTTTGATATCACATTTAGTTATATTGGCGCTGCCAATCTCTACAAGTTGCAGGTGTACAGTGAGGCAATGCCCATCCAAAACACTGGCCTCATTTTGAACGGTGTGGTTACGTTGGCACTGTTTCTGTTGGCGTCGGTGTTGATGATTGCCTCATCGATGATTATGTATTTGTACGGACATGGCAGGTTGGCGGCGAAAATGCGTGATCGCTCATTAATCACGATGAAATCGAGTGAGACGTGGATTTATTTTGCTCACTGTGCATCGCTGTGTTACGTGTTGGCTTTGGCCGTGGTGAAGGCGCCACTTTTGAACGACCTCAGCGTCACGTACAGGAGCAACTTGCATTGTCCGACATTCTTATCTGGTGAGTGAAATATGTTTAATGTTGTTGTCGAGGAATTCTTTTATATCGTATTTTACAGTCTTAGTGAAGTCCTTTGATACCATTGATATATTAAAATTTAAGTGAGAGCAAATTGAGAGTAAGATTTCAGGATATGAGCCACTTAGGAGTCCCTTCAGAAGCCGAAATTGTATACTTCACTAGAAGATACAAGCCATTTACCATTAAACCACCCCAGACATGACATTAGATAGCAGACTCACCTCAAAACCGAACACGATGAAAAGGTGTAGGAAAGCTACGACCGCCCTCTACGCCTGCAAGACGTCTATCGGCAAGAGAGAGGACTAAGTGGACTACTGGCGGTAGTTAGACCCATATAATTTATGCAGCTACTGTCCGGTGGCACTAGAGAAAGCAAGCTTCCGCTTAATTTTCTCACGGCAGACATATACGGGAAACTCCACTGGAACATCAGAGCACTGAATTCAACTCAACCATGGCGAAACCAATCAGTACACACCCAAATGCAAAACTCTACACCACTCTTTGGAGGTGCACTACACAAATTCCGTCTTCTTTTTCGACAATACATTCGCAACGAATTTCAGGGAGAGGAATGGATGGGGAAAAGCAGCACCTGGATCATAGACTGGTAGCCATCATCACTGACGTCTCTAAACTATATGGCAAAGTAGGTTGCGGAGCTTAACTCTGAACCGCTTGCTATATATCTAAATAAAAGACTTCCCAACCACTGCAGTGTATTTCAAGCGGAACTAACTGCTGTAAAGGAAGACGCTTCATAGTTGCTCGTATCTAATACGTATCCCTAGTCACAGAGACATCCCAGGCTCTTGCGCAGCTGACGAAATGGTCAGAGAGAACCACGATAAGCTCTGCACAAGAATTGTGTATACTCCTTTCCTCGGCTACGTATTTGTAAAGACTAGATTCCACAAGATAGGCCAACAGCAGATGACGGATCGAAACCACCTGCAAAGTGACAAGACAAATCTGGAAAATAATTGAGATAAAAGGAACTAAATCACAACGGACCAATAGGACCAAGTACGCTTGATCAGTATTCCGCGATCAAGCAACCTATTAAACTATCTAGGAGAAGCAAGCTCGAATTAAGCAATTTATGATTTGTGCGGAGTTACCAAATCCGGATTAACCGAAGTAGAGGCAGCTCCTTTCTCGTGCTGTCGAAGCAGGCTTTCCAGTCTTTGAAAAGGTGGTGTGTGTTGATCTTCTTTTCACGGGTATTTTCTCAGATTTGGCGCATGGTGAGTATCTGACCAATGGTTGATTTGCCCGGTTTAAAACCACACTGATAAAGTCCATTCAGTTTGTCGACGGTGGATCCTCTACGATGTAAAGGTGGCTTATCTCATTATTAAATAAGACGTTGATATTCGATTTTCTGTTCCATCACCAACGATTGGGAAATCGGGCTCGTCATCTCTTTGAGTTCCATTTTCACGGCCAAAACAATAGGGCCTTTCAAACTGTTAATGTCATTAACTTTCCTAAGGAGTAAAGCCATTCTAGAATTCGGAAAACGCCATATTTTTTCCCACAGAGTACCTTTTGGGTCCTAGAATTATAAGCAATTAGTTTTAAAGTGAAAAAAATATTTCAACTAGCTGAACTTTTTATTATGTTGTAGCCCCTCAGAGCGTGCGCTGAGTACAAAGAAAACTTTAAAACTGTTTTTTGCAAAATCACATTTACAAGCTTGGAGATTACTGGGACCCTATTGCATCGATTTATATGAAATTATATGAGTGCATAAGTTCGTGCCCGATTCCGCTGGATGCCGTTCGAATCGTTTGAGAGTGGCGCTCGTGAAAGAAATATATACATATTATATAT